AGGACTGGGCTTGGGGGTCGCATAGAGTTACCACCATCCTTTTCTGACTGCGCTTCGAGCCTCCTCCTCACCGAAAGGATCGGGCCGGAGTGCGGGGATGATACAAGAACGGAGGTCTTCCGAGCTTCCTGCTTGGCATGTCTTATTCTCGGATGCATTTGCTTCTGAAGCTTCGGCTCCAAAGCCGTATGGTTTACATGGGCTTGCGCCCAATGCACGGCTCCCGTGACCTGTTGCACGTCGCAGGCGAACTCCCACATCGTTTTTTGTAAAGAGGGGGAGTCTCGGGGCAGTGCGGCGACGCTGTCGGTGGCCTCTGCAGGGGCCACCCTCATCAAGACATTCTGATCTTCGAGTCTTCTTGCCCGTTTGTTCACAGGAACATATTATCCTGCGCACGCATCCATAGTTCTGCATATACGACCATGTTTAATTTATTGTTCCAGAGGGAAGCAGAAGCTTTGCCCAAGGCGAGGAGGGCGCCTTCTCCTTGCTGGAGGCTGGCGACTCCCAAGCCTCGGCTTGCGGTAGAGTGTCGGGGCTTGGATGCTTCCTGGCTTCTTTGGCTTTCTTGATCCCATCTAACCCCGACTCATTGGGCAACCGGGCAGATGATGCGTTCGGGAGCCCCGCAGGCCCTCCGAGCGACCAGCCCGGCGCCGACCAAGCTCTATCTGGGTGAGAACGACATCGGAAAGGGTGCCTTCGCGCTGGCCAGGGCCTTCCGTGCAGGAGAGGCAGGGCCTGCGCGGCGATGCAGAAGAGAGATGCCGACGTCGTTTGTGTTCTGTGCCCAAGTCCTTGCATTTCGTGTACCTTCCCTGTTCGCGTTCAGGTGAAGGGAAAGGTCGCCCACCCGGTGGTGGAGTTGTTGGTCAGGCTGGAGGATCGCGCTCTCTTTTGGGAGTTGTGGTAAGCTCTTCATCTTTTCGGGGGGTGCTCTTCGGCCAGTGCCCGGGGTTGGGGGCCACGGCCGCCGTGGGCCAAATCGGAGCTCTTCGGACAGCGCCGCACGCAGGAACAAACACTCAAAGAGCTCGAGGAAGCGCAAAAGCTCAAGCTCCGTGTCTTCCGCCGCGGGCTCAGCTTACAGGAGGCCCCGGCCCAGGCCCCCACCGGGCGCGCTCCCACCGAGGCTACCACGGCGACGGCCGGACACTCTTCGCGCGGCTCTGCCGGGCCCTGCCAGAGCTCCCGAAACTTCGAGTGCTCGACCTCGAGCTCGACGGGCACGGCAGCGGCTTCGGCCCCGGCCCCGGCGGCCTTTTCGGAGTGCGCGGAGCGGGAACAAATCCTCCGTTCCGCTGGCAGGCATTGACAAGGCCCGAGTCCTGGCCGCGGGCCTCGGCCAACAAAAGGAACTGGAGCGGCTGAAGTTGAGTCTGTATCGCAACTCCCTGGGCCCGGGCCTCAGCTGCGCTCCGCGTTCTCTTTTTGACTTCCAGCTTGTTGGCGGCCGCCCCCCACTTGGGGTTGGGCCTGCAAGCCGACCCCATCCATGTATCCATCTCCGTTCTTATCAGCTTCTGGGTATTCAGTAGAGAGAGCCGTGGAGACGTAGAGGCCTTCTTGTATGCTACTGTAAACTGCATCCAGTGTTAGCAGCCCACCATGAAGTCCCAAGCCCAGCTCATCCTAGCCTGCTGCCGAACGGCCTCGACTCCCGTGATGTGCTTCCGAGTCTTGGATTCACACGGCGGCTTTCTTGTGAGATTTCGATACCGAAAACCCTCCTGCCCAAATGCCTTCCCGTCCCTTCGGGAAGGCCGCCAATTTCCCTCCTTTTCGCTGTGCCTCGCGACCTTTTTCCAGCTGACGGGGGCAGCTGGAAGCAGCACTTGAGNNNNGCGGGCACCGAGGCGAGGAGGGCGCACAGGCCGTGGCCTCCACCCTCACCCTGCTGACGGAGCTTAAAGAGCTCACGTTGATCCTGTCCAAAAACGAGATTGGCCCGGGGCCTCGGAGGGTGCTCTG